TTCTTCATAAAACTTCAAGAAAGAGTTCTTAAAATTCCCAAATAAAATTCATAAATATTCCTATACAAGAAAACCGAGTCTTTTCTACTAGCGAAGGAAAGTCGTCGGAACCGGGCTTCATAGGGTGGATACGTTTAGAGGGAAGACACTTGGATTCCTCTAGCGAGTAACCTTAAGTTGTTGAAGTTACAACCGGGAACCGATTCCCTCATCCATCATCAATAGTGAAGGAGTTCAAGACATTCGGTAAATATTTTTTACTAGTATTTACTTTATAGTAACAAATCAAAATTTGTATATGATGCATGTTTTAAAGATGACGATCAGCTAATTCGCAATTAGTATGTACGGGTGTTGTATTTATACGATAAATACTTACTTTAAAAATTTTAAATTCCGCTGCGTACAGCCCGTACGGTACTATTGAACCTAACAATAACTAATGATATATTCTTGAAGTCCGTTGATGATCCTATGACTGCAATTGTTGAGAGCACATATCCAATATCTAGGGATGCAACCGATGATCCAAGTTATTTGAAGGATAGGGCTATACTAGTCCCAACATTGAAGTGGTTGAGTCTATGATTGAGTACATGACTTTGAATGTGACTGATGGTCAAACATATTTGAGCTCTGATAGTACGTGCAAATTAATCGGATTCCAATAATGATTTTTTGTCCGATCTCCACACCCATGGATTTTTGAATACTATCAGATGTTCTGGAGTACTGAACCTGTTCAATCATAATATAGGAACCACAATCATGTAATTGCGGAACAATGACCATTCTATGGGGTTGTGAAATGGTACGAGATTGGTTATCACAAAGCTCTCCACTCATGTGCTTCAAAATAAGATACTGATCAGATCTAATGCAAGAGATAAGGTGTTGATACCTCAGATGACTCTAACACATTCTGATGTTAGAGTACCTTTCAAATTTCAGCGGAGACAGTTTCCCCTAATGGTTTCTTATGCCATGACGAGTAACAAGTGTTAAGGTTAGTCTTTATCACATATTGATATGTTCTTGAGGAAGTCAGTGTTCTTACCTAACTCTCTTCGCAATACCCGCAAGAGAGATTTTTGATTAGTTTGAAAATGCCTTACGGCTCGGATTCAACCTTGTCTACTTTAGAAGGGATATCGGGTTTGTGAGCTCTATTTGCCTAGTTACACAATTATTTGTAACGAACTTTTAGGGACGACCAGTTGTATGTAACTGTTTCTTGCGTCAATAATCGAAAGAGCTTGGAAATATTAGTTTGCGGTGAAGATGGTGTGCCTATAAGACAAAAATCGTTGTATACATGGAGTTTTCTTTATTATTATGTAATATTATTTTTATTCTATTATTCAATTCTCCCTATATATTAATTCAAAACGTGCCGAGCTTAAGTGGCAGGCTCGCATGCTTCAGGATCCTATGCGGCAAAATTACATGCTTCATTATTATGCTTGAGTATATTTTAGTTTACTTCCAATCCAAAAATAATTAGGTCTGGATTATCAATAAATATGTTGATTATTTATGGTCATGTTACATGTATTAATTGCATTTTAATATCATTTCTTATTATAACTATTATATTGTAAATGTATTTTAAAAATTAATAACTATTATTTTTTTACCAGTTTTACAAATATAATATATCAAATTAATCATCTTCTGATGAGCTTCGATTTAACATCTATATTGTATGTATAAAAAAATAAATTATATTTATCTTTATAACAATAAAATTGTTTTTTAACATAAATTAGAAAAAAAATTATTTATCAATTAATATATTTATATTTCAAGTAGTTATATGATATAAGTTATAAAAATTACTATAATATAACAAATGTAAGTCACACAAATAACAAGTGTCATTCTAAAATATATAATAATATATATTTTTTGTAAAACAGTAAATAAAATTTTAAATAATTTTCCTCATTAATTTTAAAATCTAAAAATAATTTTTTAACAAGCCTCCGTGTAATACACGGGTTTTGTACTAGTTTTCTTTATTCACGATTATAATAATAAGGTTGAGTAAATAGCCTTAGAATTGTTTACCCCGTGCATAGCATGGGCTCTGCACCAGTTAGTTCATTACATACTTGATATAAGAAATAAAATATTATCTTAAATAACTCAACAATATTTGAATAATAAAACGTAAATCTATATCTATATATATATAATAAGAATTAACATTTTTCAAAAATAGTAAGCAAAAAAATAGGGAACATTAATTGCATTCCATTTTTGGTATGTTTCTTTAATTTTTTTAATAAAAAATCAAGTAGCATTTAATGCTAGCATAAATCATGAGATTTGTTATATAGATGCATATTTAAATTTCAAACTTCAAACAAAACATGCCTAAATGTATTTTGAATTTTTTAGGGAAAAAATTTAACAAACACGTTGAAGATTTCATACAATACATATATTTATATATATTATCTCAACATATAGGTTAATTAGTTTCATATCTAAACAATATATATTTAAACAATATATAAACAAATATAATAATTTGTCGTACAATACAAAAAAATATATAAACAATATATTTATATACAAATATAATAACAATACAAACAATATATAAAAAAATGTAATAACTTGTCACGCGTATATTTCGTACAATACATATATTTATATATATTTTTGTAACATATAAGTTAATTAGTTTCATATTTAAACAATATATATTTTAGAAACTTAAAGATTCCTAACATTACTGACGTCATGTACATATATAATATATTGTCACATACATTTTACTACAATTGGTAACTTTTTTAAAATTATTTGAATAACTGGAGGTTGATTTGTAATTTAAATTTCAAATTCATTCAAACATTTAAAGGAAAGTATCATAAGCAGATTTTTTTGATACATTTCATTTAATCTCAACTTACATATAATCATTTCCGAATTATTTGTTTCTCATAGCATCGGACATAATTACTAATTGCATAGAATTCAATTACGATTTCGAATTTATATCACTGATGTTTAATAATTGCATAGAATTTCAAAGATGTTTATTTATTATAAAAAAAAAAAGAAATTGTAAAAAAATATTTGTGTATATTTTGTAAAATGTTTGTACAAAATGTTTTACTTTAAATTTATTTACATAATTTAAATTAATTACATTTATAAATAATATGAAAATTTATTAAATATTTTAATTATATAAAACAAAAAGAAGAAGAAGACTACATATTTAACTTGCATAAATAATAATAATGAAATTATATTACAATAAATTTTATAATAAATTAATATAAGTATTACGAAGAACAAGATTACGTAAAATTGTTATTTTTCTTATATCAAGGAATATATATATAATGAAATCAAATTTATATTATTATAAACATGTGAGCGAGATAATATATTAATTAATTTACGGGCTTGCGCTACCAGACTCAGGTTTAATGTTTCGACAAAAAAAAAAATGACGTTGATGAAAAGATGTAAAAAGATAAATGATCAGACTCTATTATTTTTTAGGCCTAAACGGACAAGTCCTATGGTCCACTCATTCAATATACCCGTGAATCGCACGAGCTACTTAACGGACAAACTCTGTGGAAATGACTCATTTAATACTTATGCCCCGTGCATCGCACGGGCGGCTACGTACTAGTTTATAGTATCAACATTAGTTATATATAAGGGGGTGCTATGATTTTACCATAATTCCATGCTACTGCACCAGTTAGTTCATTACATACTTGATATAAGAATTAAAATATTATCTTAAATAACTCAACAATATTTGAATAATAAAACGTAAATTTATAGTACCAACATTAGTTATATATAAGGGGGTGCTATGATTTTACCATAATTAACTTAAAAAATGGGTAGAAAAAAATTCTATTTGCATTAATTTGATAACCCTTAAGTATATCCCTTATATATAATTTTAGAAGGCCTAAGTGGCAATTTTGCACGCTTCATAATATTATGTGGCAAAATATTATACTTTCTAATATGACTCGGATAAAAATTATAATTTTTTATACCAAATAGCTTAAGTTCGGATTGCCATATATATACATGCATTTAATATATTTAAACTATTTCATATAAATCTATTTATTATCTTCTTTCTATAATATGCATATAATCTTACTTTCCAAATTTTGTGTTTTGTCTATATTATTTCCTTACGTGTTTCAAATAAAAATATCATAAATCAAATTAGTGATGTATATACATTAGTTTTCATAATTTAAAATATTGTTAATTCAATTAATTTTTTATTATAAATTATTATATATTGTTCCTTATTTATTGTTTCCAACTTCAACAAAATATATAATTTTTTTTTTTCATTTTTTGTTATATATTTAATTATTTTATCAACCACTCGTGTAGTACTCGGTTATTTAGTATATAGATATATATATAGATATAGATACAATATAGTTATAGTTGACTCATTTCTGATATTTGCCTTTGTCACGTTACAAGTCCAATGCTCCATTTTGATAATTTTTTTTTTTATTTCCTGTTTTGATGAATTTCCATGTACAGAGTCAATCAAAATCATTCCAGTTTCATCCTTTTTGTTGTTTTTCTTTTCTGATCCCAACACGGTTTTAACTTCATCCGGACATTAACTAGTCAACTTGCAGGAATACAAGAAATAAGGCTGACTAGTGAAAGTTTACAATATTTTTTCAGTTCCTTTCTCATCACTTTGTCCAAAACCAAACAACGCTCTTGATTTTGTCCTTGCATTGATCTCCAATAAAGGTAAGAAACGCTGTAACTTTTTCCTTATTTCTCAAATTATTCTCTTCTTTTCCTTTTCTTCTTGTGGGATCATATGAATGTGATGGTTGACATGATCTCCAATTTTCCGCATTTCATCAGTTATGAGTTGGTCGATGATTACATTTTGCTTTAGTTGTTTTATTTTCATAAGAATGCTTTGGTGAGGAGGCAATCAGAGAAATAAATAATGTTTTCTTTAAGCTGGTCTAGAATATGTTGATCATTTCCATATAATGTGGTCCACAATTTGTTGATCTACTTAGTTTTCGATGAGTGCTTGTGTGTGTGAGAGATAGAGATGAGTAAATGTGCAGAACTAGCATGATTATGTGAATAGTTTGATTCGATGTTGATGATAATATTGAAATCACAGAAGAATTGTGGATTTATCATAAAAATGGTGGTTTTTTGCTAGTCATCAACAGGAAGAAGGTCTTTGTGATGGTGCTAGGCCTGAAATCATCATCAAAGCAGAAAAGGGGATCCTTTGTAAAAGCAGAATACATAGTCCAGGTGAAGGAAATCCGGCCATGGCCGCCATCTGAGCCCTTCAAATCCATCCAAACTATACTCCTCCACTGGGAAAACGGCAATGACAACTCAGGGTCATTCATCTCTGTAGCCGGCCACTCGAACATCGTGTTTGATGAGTCCTTTACACTCTCCACAAACTTTCACCACAACAAATCGGGCAAAAAGTTGCGGAACAACTACTTGGAGTTCAGGCTCAAGGAGCCTCGTAAGGGACAACTTCTGGGGACAGCTGTCTTCAACCTCACGGATTATGCCTTGCTAGAAGAGGATATCCTCACTGTGGATGTGAATGTCCCTTTCGACTTTAACAACACTCCACACACTCAACCTGCTCTTGCCATCACTCTACAGCTGCTAGGGAAAGGCAGCTCTTCTTCTACTTCATCGCCAGGTGTCGGGTTTTTCTCTAATGATGATGAAGATGATTCGGATGACTTGTCTTCAACTCATTCTTCATCTTCAGCTTTTGAGCCTTCGAGAGACGACAAGGTCTGCCTTTTTTTTATTTTTTTAGTTTTTGATTCCACTGTGTTCCGAATCTTGTTGCACGTGGGATGGAGCTTATCTGAACCAAACAAAATGTAGGCAAGCAAAACAGAAATTAATAAAAATAAATATGAGGATGGGAAATTTGAAATGCTCCTTGTGTCAACATTTCTACACAACTTGGCTTTAACAGCGAAATCCTTTTCTGAGGTTAGTGTGATTATTGTATGGGATTGGGATCCTGTTGTAGGATATCATGAATGGTTTTTTATTTTTTGTAATCTTAGACACTATGATTGATACGAGGTATTTAACTGAAGTATGACTATGATATGCGGCATTCAACTGATTTGGAATTATAAGTTGCAGAATGGATTGGACAATCAAAAAGATGGAAACAAGAGAACACAGAATAATGCATCATCAGACACTTGGAACAAAGTAAAGGACTACGTATCACTTTCCAAATTTTCCGAACGAAGCATGTCGATTGTCAAGAAGAACTCATCCGCCCCATTGGTTATATCTTCTCCCATATCAGTCACCTTACCTGACAATGAGAGGTTCAACAGCCTACTAATCAACAAAACACATCAAGATAACCAACAAACTCATGTGGAGGACAAATCAATTGATGTCAACTCAAACTCAGAAGACGCTATCGTTTTGAATAGGAAAGGACAAGGAATTCCACCATCAGGCAGCAACAAAGCCCGGTTAAAGCACATGAACTCCGTACAAATACAAAATGGTTCCCAAAAGAAAGGAGGCAATATTAGTCTTCCGGAAGAATGTAAAGATTCGAAAAGTGATGTTTCTGAATGTGGAAATGAATGGAAAAGCAGGGCTGAAATGCTTGAGGAGGAACTGAGGGAAACAGCAGTAATCGAGGTGGCTTTATACTCAGTGGTAGCCGAGCACTCGAGTTCGGTCAACAAGGTTCATGCTCCGGCTCGAAGGCTGTCGAGATTTTATAAGAATGTTTGCTTGGCTGGGTCTCAAGCTAAACGGGCTAGAGTAGCTAGAGCTGCTTTATCTGGCCTTGTCCTGGTTTCTAAGGCGTGTGGAAATGACGTCCCCAGGTGAAAATTAAATTTATTTACATTTTGAGTGCTGAATGGAAATTTTGAAAAATAGTCAGGCCTTGAATTATTGTTTTTGCACATTCCCATGGTGAAAATTAAATTTAGTTACATTTTGAGATGACCTTAATTGATTCACACGCGTGTACTTGTTGTATTATGTGTCTTTATTAATATTTGTGCACTTGACTTGCATGTAGATCCACAAAATAGCACAATTTGAAGCTGAGAGTGTCCATTGTAACCCGTAGCATCTGATTAGCTTATGTGCAGTCTCTTGCTGTAAGTTCAATCTAACCGACGTTGTTTTTTTTCTTACAGGCTAACCTTCTGGCTATCGAATGCAATAATGTTGAGGTCGATTGTTAGCCAGATTGCTGCAGATTTGAACGGACAAAGACAGCAACAATCTAAGCCAATTCAAGAATCTGACAACTGTGAAGATGTCTTGACAATGATTATCGCTCTTGAAAAAATCGAGTCTTGGCTCTTTACTAGAATTGTTGATTCCGTATGGTGGCAGGTCTTCTCACTCGCTCTCTCATGTGACTAATTTTTTGTTTGAAGTTGACGAATTTCGGAGACAGCTAAAGTTTTTCTAATTTATTTTCATTTTTTGTAGACGTTCACGCCTCATATGCTTCCCACAGTTGAGCAAGGCAGTCAAAGAGAGAGAATAATCAGAGGAGCAAAAAAAGCAATTAATGGAAGACGAAATTGTTTGGGTGATAACGAACAGGGAAGTTTCTCCATCGAAATATGGAAGAAAGCATTCAAAGATGCATGCGAAAGGCTTTGTCCGATTCGCGCAGTCCAGCATGAATGCGGCTGTTTGTCTGCACTTATCACACTGGTATTTGACCAATATCATGGACATATGCTAACATACAAAAATGACACCATGTAACTTGGAAATAAAGTATTCCCTTGAAATAGTACTTTACTTGATTTGATTTTTACTCTGAAGGTGATGGAGCAGTTAGTTAACAGGCTTGATGTGGCAATGTTCAACGCCATTCTGCGCGAATCAGATGAGGAGATGCCAATGGATCCTGTATCTGATCCGATTACTTACTTGAAAGTACTTCCAGTGCCAGCTGGGAAATCGAGCTTTGGGGCTGGTGCCCAGTTGAAAAATGTTGTAAGTATGTTGGTTGAGTTTTCTTCTTTTTTTTTTTCTTTAATTATTAATGTTTTTGGTATTTTTTGATTTATTTACTTTCACTTGCTTTTTGTATAAGTCCAGCATGAGAGTCTTGGTTTTACAAACTTCATAATCATGTATGCTGTATGCTAACTCCAGATATGTCAACCAATGTTACACAGCTTGTCATGGCTTAAATTTCTGTTATTTGTTGAAATTATTCACAAATTCCAGTCCGGAAAAAACATAAATGGAGTAAAGAAGGAAAGAAAGCTCATTTACTTCTCATATTCTAATACTTTCACCATTTTCTTAAATTGAATCCCTCGGTGCCCTTGTACTCATTTTCTGAATTTTTGGTTCTATAAATGGACTTCCATCAATTTAGTGTAAGTACTCAACATAGGTTTTCTGTTTCTTGCAGTTGGTTTAATTAAGAAGGTTGTTGAGTATTTTTGTTGTCTTGTAGATTAGGAACTGGTCAAGATGGCTTAGTGATCTGTTTGGATTAGATGACGACAACTTGAGTGAGGATAATGTTTCTGTTGGCGACAGCAAGAGAACAAAATGTTTCAAGGCATTTCGACTCCTCCATGCATTGAGTGATCTCATGATGCTTCCATTTGAGATGCTTGCTGATATTTCCACCAGAAAAGAGGTACAAAAATAACCCTATCAATTTTTATTTTATTTTTCAAGCACAAAAAAAAGCCTCTTTTAGTTCTTTTTAATAGTCTGTCGTCTATACTTGTCATAGACATTTATTTTCAGTTTTTTGTCTAAAATGAAGGTTTGCCCGATATTTGGTCCGGCTACAATCAAAAGGGTTCTAACCAATTTTGTTCCGGATGAATTCAGTCCAAATCCCATTCCACGGCACATAACCGACGCGCTTGATTTAGAGGTTGGTTATACTTTCTTAGTCATCCATCCATAAAAGGGAG